TCTAAATCATGGAATTCCACAACGTTATAATGAATATCGCTATTAGAGAATTTTTTTCAGCAAAAAAATTCTTATTGCATTAGAAAACTCTATCAACAACATTACAATAACCCAAACTGCCAACAGCCATATCTCCTAATCCCTAATGACACTAAAACCCCCAGCAATATCAATAACTCCCTACAACAAACTAAACCGATTAAACAATTCCAGTAAAACCCGAAATTAATAGCAATGAGTATTCGTCCTGGTAAACGAGACTTTGAATAGTTTGTACGACGCTATGCGCTGCTTTGAGGCGGCGATAAGTGACCGATAAGCGTTTGTATTGCTGAGTTCCTCCAGGGTTATCGATGCCTCAGGGGCAACAAACTCACTAGCGGCCATGCTGCTCGAGGATAAAGTAAATAATAACCAACAAGAGAAGAATGCAAACTGGGAATAATGAAGAATTTCAGATAAAAATAAATCATCCTGCTTTCTCCGTCGCAAATCAATCGCCAATATTGCGATTGGACGGGCCTCTGAGGTATTGCTAGCGCTTGCGCAGGGTTACGAAATGAAGGGTTAGAATATGGGATTTAAAAGGAGAAATGGGCTCCCCACCTTGCCAACGCCTTCCGGCAAAATTATTCCGGCAACTGAGAAATTCCACGAAATTGGGGTGAAAATTACTGGGCTACGGGTTGAATTTCCCCACCCATAAGTCCCTTTACACATGGCCGATTGCCGACGTATCACCGACGCTTCACTGATAACCGTTTCTTGTTGGTTTTTTCAACCCCTAGGTAAAGTGGATCAGCGATATATTTGATATAGTCGAGGCGTGAATATTCTGGAGTGAGATTCTTCTAGTGTACACTGTTAGAAATTTTTCAAAATTTCACGGAAAATATGGTAGTAATTCTCATGAGAGGGAAATTGAATCAGATTTAGGGGAATAATGATGAAAAAACCTGAAAAATCGTGAACGTTTTCGATGTTTTACTACCAGGCCCCAAACGTCTCGATAAATTCCCACTAAATATCGGCGAAAACCTATTCTGAAAATTATCATTCGATATGAGAACTCATCACCTTATAAAACGAACTATTATCCGAAAACCCTCCATCATCGCATTTGGCAATCGTCGAGCGGAGGGTGAATCCACGAAATTCAAATATCACTCTCGGCTGAACCGTAAACTCCCCCTCAAAAAATCCCCACCAAACGTGTCTTTAATGACACGAACGATTAGAAATGCTACAGGATGGGAAAAATGTAGTAAAAATTACGTTGCTAAACTGGGAAAACTTTTCGGTCACTCTGAAGTTCTTTAAAATTTATAAGAACAATTTAAATTGCACTGACATTTTACCGGATGATTACATTTTCTTTGTGAATTTCACTGAAAAAAACGTTTTTTTAGGAATCTGTGGCATTCTAAAAATTAACGAGTGAGAAATCCGGAGATCAAGTGATTTTGTCAGTAAACCAGGAGCATAATCCTAAATTACACAAAAATGCCACAAATTATTCTTTGCAGCATAATTGTCAATTTTTTCATGTTTATCATGCGCGAAGTTGATCAATTCTTCCTTTTTGTGAAGGTGCTAAATTCTAGAAAACTGAGAAAACTCCCCGTTTGTTAGAAAATTCTAGGAAAATGCCCATTTTTTTTTTCATTAATGAAAAATTTCGAAAATTATTTAGTTGTTTACAGAATTCGCGGATTTTCTGAATAATTCAAGACAATCATTTACTTTTCTCTAAAATCGATTCATAAAACTTCCCTTATTTTTCAACAATTACGGTTACGGTACAATTAAAGATCGAGCCACTTTGAGAAGTGAAAGGGGATTGATCAAGTAATCAATATTATTCATCAATTTTTCACCTATCATTAATCACTTATCACTCTTACAAAGCATTTTTCTGTCTATGAAATTTAATACATTAAATTAGAATACAGAAAAGCAAGCTTCTTAAATTTCTAATTAAATTTCTAAGAAATAAACATCGATTCCTAAAAATTGCGGATATATCCCTGGTACCCAAAACTTCTTTTCTCCGCGTTCGACCCACATGAAATCAATTTTGATTCTACATTCTTCTTCACCCAGAAGACAACAAACGAACACCTACAAGCCACCCTAGAAAGCCCGCCAAGATTTATGAATGAATGAAAGCACCCAGGAAATCAGTATTACGATGGGGTCTTCGTGTCGGGGGCGATGCGTGATCGCAGGTGTAACACACGTTCACCACGACCCCAATGGTTATTTTCTCCTCCTCGTTTTTTTTTTCGGTGTCGAGAAATAAGGTCTAGAAAACACGCGGAAGAAGTGTGACGCAGATAGGCTCTTCCCCGGGGATAAGGAGGGCGTTTGTGGCCATGATAGCTGGTGGGAGGGGGTTGTTGTGACGGCGAAGCTCTATATACAATGGTCCTGGACTCTCGAACGTTCATCCATCATCTGTGCTTACTGTTTCCCTCAACTTTCGCTGCAGTGACTTTTTTCCTTCACCCACTTCCTGCCTCCCCCCCTTCGCTGAATGATTTTTCTCTTTATTTTCATTTGATACATAGAGAGGGAAAAAGTTGAATTTTTTTTTTTTTCGGGGTCTATTCGAGTCTCTTTGAGTCGCAGTATTGATTATTGGGAACTCGAGATGACGTCTTCCCCTTCTCCAGTCGCCCTTTCCCACTTACTCTCCCTTTCACCTCTTCCATTGGAAGCCATCGACTCGAAGCCTTGACAACTCGTCTCAAACGTCTCTCCAAATGCACATTAATTCAACATTTTAGTTTCATGTGAAATTCACATTATCACTGCTGCACTTGGATTTTATTCTCCGCCGCTAATATCATTTCATTTTTGCTTGTTTTCTGAGTATAATGTTACCAATGATAAATATGTCACATTTGAAGCGATAAATAATCGAAGAATTCACGAGTTTTATCGATTTAACGTATAATGTAAAGTGACTTTGGGTTATTAATACTTTGATTCATTCTGACTTGGGCATCAGCGTTCGATGCCCGTGAGTCATAGGTCAAACGTCGCACCGCAACGTCAGGGGATAATTGATTTGTTTGCCTCGCGAAAATCTCACGCGATCACTGTACAGCCATATTCGCCTTCCCTCATATGCTTCCACAAACATTCGATTTCACATTGACCAACGCAAAACTGTAGAAATTAATTCTCCAAAATCAGAAGCGAAACAGTTAAACGGTCCAAGTTCATTACGCCTCTGGTCAGTTGTCAATAAATATCTCGGAATCTAAGGCAGATAGCAAAATCTTTGTCATAACCTTTTTTGTAGAGCGAATTTAGGGCGACAAAAAAGGTCATTATCAAAATTGCGCTGTGTCCCTTAGATTCGGAGATATTCCTCGAAAACTCGGCTTAGAGCCGAGACACATTGTAAAAACTATAGTGGCTTGAAGATTTCCTAATTTTCCTAATTTAAGACATTAGACTGATGGCTTAATTTAGTGATACAGACGTCTCTAAAAAGGGGAGAAACCATCTCAATTTGAAGCACTAGTTTTCCTACTGCAGCCGATAAAATCCACGAACGTATTAATTAATCAATTGAAAAACACGAGACCACTGATTTAATGTGAAAACAAGTTATTTTATTTTCACAGAAGAGAGTTCGATACGCGATTATAATGACCCGCGGGGTCTTGAGCCTTGAACTTGTCCTACGATAAGACACTGTGAGAGCTGCTTACGTACATTGGCATCGTAGAGTCCGTTCACTCTATCGCAATTCACTACCTCGTTAAAACCAATCATTAAATTTATCACAGCAGCCGTCGAAAGAGGCGAAAAAAAATCAATAGAGCTTCCTCTCCCTCCTGTACCATCAAACAAAAACAGAACGAGAGATCAAGTTTATTCATGATTTGGGTGAAGCAGAAGAGAGAGTGAATTCCAACCCCTCTGTTGAGTTCAATGTCACTGCAATAATAAACCAGCGGTTATCTGTATTTCTGTATTTCCCTCCGGGGATCCCTCCACTCTCCCAATTTTCCCTCTTTCCCTCCCCCTACGATGCCGCATTGAGCCCCAACATCGAGGCCAAGTTCATCTCTATATATACCCAAGTCCGATTCCTGGCCCACCCACCGGGCAAAACGGTTCAGCGTGTAAATCCCACCCTCGTCTCTCCTCTTTGCTCTATATATTGCCCTCCCTGTATCACCTAAAACCCCCACGGCAAATACATACTAGTAAATACCGGAGATACAACTTTCGCACGGAACCCACATCCGCCTTCTACTGGAACATGAGTCATGCATTTCCAAGTGGAAATTCCATATCGCCACGCGTTTTTATTATGGGCATGGATTTTCATTTTCAATGAGGTTATCTTTAACAAAACGCGTGTCGTGGATATGCCCGTGGGAGCGAAAAGTAGTGGCGAAGATGGGAACGTGTAAAACCGGTTTTTACCCTTTGTGGATTTTAATGACTTTATAATGAACAATTATGAGGGGAGAATTGTATCAATTGGTTAGGTTTGGGCGAATGAGAATGCGTGATGAGAAAAATAATTATTCAATTAAGAAATTTACTTTTATAATGATGGAACCCGATTCTTTTGAGTGCCTCTTTTTGCTTTGATTTTTCTGTCCCAATACTCGAAGAACTAATGGCTCGATTTAAATAATTTGCAATGTTAATGTTTTGATCCAATTGATTTTGTACAGAATGGAACTCCCCTGGTGAAGGACACCTTCAGCGTCCAAACTATTGCGAAATGAAAGAATTTCTGGCTACTGAACCAAGAACAATCTACAAATCTTTCTGTCAGAATCCAAATCTTGTCTTCCTCCCAATTCTGAAAGACCCTGTTCTGTCTCATAAATTGTCCAAATTGGAAACAATAGTCTTGCCATAACAAAAGACTATAGAAGATTCTTCATATGTGCTTCCACCATTTTGTGAAACCATCACCATCCCTCACCATCAAATACTCATTCAATCTGAAATAATTGACTCACCTTCTTCTCCGTCAACTTCTCACACCGCCTCATCTTACAAATCTGATGGCTCTTGTCATTTCTGCACGGTGCACAGTCACCGCAGTTGTCCTTTCTCTGGCATCCAATGCACTCGCCACACCGCTTGCGCTTCTTTTTCGCCGGTTTATCACCAAGTCCACCATCCCCATCACCATCACCAATCCCACCGCCCAAATGTCCATGTGGACCCCGATTACCCGTCGACGATACCGCGGCAACTTGTCCAGAAGACTCCACATTACCACTACCATCCTCCGATTCCATAGAATCGCCTCGATTTTTTCTCCGCTCCTTTTTCCTCCCGTCGATCCTCGAAGAAGGTGACGAGTCAAGGACCGTTGACATGGGATTCTGGAAATTGGTGTGATGCAGCTGTGGATACTCCTGCTTGACCACTGTCAGAACCGTGTGATGTGGATGGCCAGGTGGTGGTGCAAATGCCTGAACAGGATTTGACCCAAGAAGCTGAATGTGTCTCTCATCGAGGATCTGCTGTTGAAGCGCTGGCACTTCTCGTGCCTGAACAGGCGCGGGTACAAGAGGATAACCAACGGGAGCACGATGTGGATGAGGTGGTGGTGGCAGTGGTGAACCAAGTGTATGAAAACTTGGTAGACCAACAGCTGATGTCACAGGTGGTGAGTGCGACACCGATGCTGGTGAAAGAGGTGTGAGTGCTGTTAACTGTGGCTCTGACTCACTCGGCGGGGCAAATTGACTCGCAAAGCTCGGCAGACCATCGGGATTCGGATGGAGACCGTGCTTTGACTCCCATGGACGGTACTGACTCGCAAGTACAACTTCACCCCGTGAGTCTATGAGACGACCCGTCAGACCCTCGTAATAATCCCACGAGGATGTCAGACCAAGACCAACGTCCTGGCTGTGGAGGGTTGTTAACGTTGTACCAGTGTCCATTGATACGTCACCGGAGAAACTACTGAATGGCGGCAAATGGCGATTTGGATCACCAGGTCCAATGTTGCCTGGCGATACCGACAGTGCCGCCGGAGGGCTCACCCTCTCGGGTGCTACCTCCTTTTTAACCTCGGCGCTCATCTTCTACGAAGCATCCTCAAATCCATCACTCCTTCGTGGGTTTTGGTCGAAGGTGTTGGTGTGATTGATGATTTGGTCGATTGGCGATGGATTGCGATGGGTAATTGTTGATTATTTTTAGTTGCGAAGAGTTCAATGGGGTTCACTTGGTACGCTGGGACACTTGGGGATCATACACACGACATTTAATAGATTATTTATTTGTTCAATTATACTGCGATCGTGAGTTTCGTTGAGCTTCACGCGGGAATATCTCCACTTAATTCTCCTTTTGTACTCGACAGGTTTAGGCTACGAACTGAAGTAGATTGGTTTTTATCTTTTTAATTTTTGTTTATCATTAACTTTTTAGTTTTCCTGAGCGAAAATTCGTCAACTTTTTTTTAAACTTAATTTTTTTTCTCCTTAAACTTGCTTTTTGCTCGATAAAATTTGATAAAAATTTACTCCTCGGTGCTCGTTTAAAAAATGTAGAATACTTACAATGTTTAACTATAAATTCCTATGCTTTTAGACTCTGTCTGGCTTTTATTTGTGATTTTAGTTTGTTTTTTGTTTTTTAAATAACGGTGTGCGGAGAACTTGGTACTTTCTCGAATTAATCAGGAGTTTAGTCTGGTTTTAATCTGTAGTTTTTTTTTTAAATCCAGGTGTTGGCCCCCCGCTCGTTAGAGTATCGTTGAATGATTAGTAGAAAATGGTAGATTCTTTGGTTTATGGTTTAGCTCACTTATTTCTCTGTCACACGGTTGTATTTAATTTTTTTTTAATCCCTTTTTAAAAACTTTATAATAATTTTAATCTGTTACACTTTTTTTTCTTGTTTTGCTTTTAATCCTCTCGATTTGGCACTGGCGGACTTTATATTTGTACACTAGAGTAAAATACGTATGTATCAATCCTTTGTCTCCCTTTCACAAATTCTGCGCATTAGAATCCTCTTCTTCCTTTCAAACCTAAGCTCTTGGGATATTACGACAATATAGACACTAATTACGTGATTCTTGATTCGTAAGAAAATATAAATCACTTGAGGTTAATGTGGCTTGTTTGAAGGCTGTTGATTTGTACGATCTGAAATCAGAAAAAAAACATTCATTTGAATACAATGAATTACACTGTTAAACATTTTTGTCTGACATTTCCGGTACACTTCTCGGAAATTTTTATTGCATTAGAATCTCATTGAAGTTTCAAGGAATTTCAGCTCAATTATTCATGATAATTAATTGAAATCAGGAAAATCCAAATGCAAATATTGTCAAATGGTCAAATAATTCAAAATTCAACTTCATTTGATGGTAAATGCTCATGTTCTGATTCAAATTCAAGTAAGTTGAGAAATTCTTGTTTTTCTGTTGCTGGCAATTTTAGAATTTCATTCAATTCAGTGAAATTCCAAATATTATAATTTTTCCCCCCTAAATCGAATTCAATGTCACTCTTCTGACAATTAAGAGCCAGTAGGCTTCTAATTTCTGTCCATGAAATTTCAATTCTTTTCTAACAATGTATACTATTAAGAAATTGTTGACTCATTCAGTTTCACTGAAATTTCGAGGAATCTCGTCACTGAAAATTCTCTACTTTATGGCAAACACAACGGAATGTGGAAATTACACTTCAATTATTCTACGATAATTGATGTAAATCACGAAAATCCAAGTAAATATATTGTCAAATTTGCAAATGAAAAATTTAACTTCATTCAATACCGAATATTTACGTTTCAATTGAAAATTCAAGTGCGTTAAGGAATTCTCGTTTTCCTATTGCTCAAAATTTGGGAATTTCATCCAATATTTAGTGAAATCTGAAATGTTATACTTTTTCCCCCCTAAATTGAATTCAATGTCACTCTCCCGACAATTAACAGTCAACTGTCCATGAAATTTCAATTTTTTTAAATTCAACACTGTTGAAAAATTGTTGACTCTCCACAGTTTTACTGAAATTCCAAGAAATTTCGTCATTGAAAATTCCAAATTTTACTGCAAAATCACTGGAAACTGAAAATGACACTTCAATTATTCCACAATTGCCACAAATCCGGAAAATTCAAGTAAACATCTTGTCAATTTTTCAAATAATTTCATTGAATTTCCAGGAAAACCTGCGATTTAATGGACTTTTTCCTCAATCTCACTCTCAAAACTCTCCTAAAAATCACCAGTCACCAGTCCCCTAAATGTCAATTTTTTCCAACAGTGTCCCAAAAAAAGAGTAACAAATTGTCCATTCACACGTGAGCAAATAGAAATATCATCTCCAGCAGAGCAAAACGACCCTGTCATGCGACTATTTCTCAACTACAGCTGAAAAACCTCGACCCTGGATTTCTCCGAGATGTCTGCATTCGTGCTGTATACCCGGTGAAAATGCCAATTCAACACGCAACCCCCCCCCCCCCCCC